ATAAGTTGGGGGGAGGGGCAAACTGAAACTGCTTCAACAGCTCTGAGCACTCCTTCATGGTTTCAATATGTTGTGCCAGGAACCACAACCCGGCATCCTTGGGCTGGTTCATCAGACGCCACTTTGTACTGTATGTGTGAGACCATTAACCAGCCTTTAAGGTGCAAATGCGGTGCATTGCAAATGGGGTGCATTCGGTGCTCAATGACACCCGACCCAGTGTCTTTGCTTATCATAGGAGAAGTGTTCCAATGGCATCCGATGTTTTTTAAATGAATTTTAGGCAGCAACAGCAGAGTTATAAAGCAAGTTAATTCCAAGTTAATCCCAAGTCAATCACAGTAATACACCTCATCAGCCGCAGCATGTCCAGTCATATGTATATACATGTATCTTATGACATTCTCACCACTACAGCATCTACATATAAATAGCTACCAAGATGACTTGTACATGTGTAGCTTAAGTCACGGTGGCTTGATTACAAAATTCTGACTCCAAGGCCGTGCCCAGCAAAAATACGGCACTGTTTTTATTTTCAGACGATTGCTGGGAGTGTAAAAACGTTTCAGTGACAAGTCTCATGTAGATGTGTAAACACAACCCATACATTGTACTGCACATTCACAGGTGCAATCAGCAGTTAAAAATGGCATAACTTCAGCATTTGAGGGTGGGGAGGTATACAAGGGTTTGTGTGTCCCCTCCGGCAAAAGTCTGTGTCCCCGTACACCCAGGTGCCCATCCCCATTTGAAATTTAGACATGTACACACACAGCCCACCTGTATGTACAATCTGCTTTCAGTGTCTCTTTGAAAAAAAAGTGGGTATCCCCAGGCACCCCCCCTCAGAAATTTCACCCTATTTACGCCACTGGCCTTGTTAAAAATCGCTACATTTCTCATAAATTTATTTTGTGAAGGCATAGATACCCTACAAGTTCTTAACCTAAAGTAGATCCCCATGTTGAACTTCAGCTTGGATGCGTCCTCCTGAACTCTGTGGTAAGGCCTTGGAGTGTTGAAAAAGAAGATACAAGGGAAAGTATTGCACAAGGACTGTTCAAAAAAGTCAGTATTCATAAAGATGGACTTCGTGTTAAAGCTTGGTCGATCTAGTTTGGTATTCATCCATGTCCAAGTGCAAGATAACCCCACTGTACTGCAGTTCAAAATCCAAGTCTACTCTTTTCCAGCATTGTTTTTAAATCAAAAGTGCACAGCACCTCTGAGTCATCAATAAACATCCTGGTCGCAAGATCCCATCTCAGCGTCATCCATTTCAAACATTTAGGGAAAAGTGTCGTGACTAATAGGGTAGGTTACGTCCATTACCAAGATAATAAGGCATCAGTGTCCTGTGTTACAGGTGTACATGTATAATGAGGCTTTTAAAGTAGCAGGCTGTCAGTGACCTGAGCTGGCCAAGCCTCAATGGCCTGGCCAAAGGGGGCAACTGCACTCCCCCCCCATGGGAACTCTAGCCCCACTCTTGGGCTATTTTGCCACCATCTGCAGTGTTTGATATATTTTTCACCTATTTCAGGCCCCGAATCAAATTAGAATTGCTGCCCCCCTTCCTTTAAAAATAGCTACGCTTCCCAATAAGCCTGATTACACCACTGTGAAGCCTCATGCACTAACGACTAGCTTTACAAACTGCAATACACGGAAAGTCATACATCAAAATGCCAGGCATATCTGCTGCATGTTGGATAGCCAGGCGATTTGAGCACATGTAATCTCCACCTTGTCAATCATGACTGTGTACATTCACACCATTGCCTCAATCACTTCCCGGAACTTATCAAAAAAAGAGTTTGAGCATTAACAAAAGTGGCACTGACGTCACCCAAGACTGTGATGTCACATCGCTCATTATTGTTCCCCCTTTCTTGAACGATGGTGTCATGGTTACTGAGCACAGCAGAGGATTCTCAGTAGACACTGATTGATTGGGCTCCCCATGGTGTGACGTGATTCGTCTGCTCGCGAGGATCGTTAGAGCAACTGCCGATTGCAATTAATACTCGCAGCTCAGTGCAACTGGAGCTCGTCTTCTTTGCTCAGTATCACTGTCAAGTCAGAACTACTGAAAGTTACAGTACCATACACAGAATTCTCTTTCCTTGCATCCCATCCAAACCATTGATTTAGCAAATCAGACAAAATTCAGTTCACATTTTAGGTTGCTCACCCATCTTGACACTGAAAAAGACAAAAGGAAATGAACTTCCTTACATTTGAAACAAAAGGTTTTGAAAACAAGTCTTTCCGACAGGCTGCTCCAGTTCTGTGGAATGCACTCCTCCTCGACGTGAGGTAGTCGGAATCAGTTACATGTAGTTTGTTTAAAAAATCTCTGAAAACATATCTTTTTACCAAATATTTTTATTAATTGTTCCTATCTTTAATGTAAACACATCTTATTTATGCATTATCTTAATTTGAAGCTGCATTTTTAATGTACATGTATTAATATGAGTGTTGTTTTATTGATATATATTGTAAAGTGCCTTAGAGCCCATTGGGATTAGGGCGCTCTATAAGTTTGGTATAATAAATAATTTACAAGTGCCTCCAATTTTCAGGTCAGTGATTACTTTGCAATTCCGAAGTAACGATAATCACAAGGTAGCAATGGAATAAACTTCAACCTGCCCATGAAAAAGGGAAGATGCAGAAAAAAAAGTCCAGATGATGAAAGCTGGGAATCGATGTAAAATCTGTAAACTATTGGGCATACACTGTGATCACAGAGTATTATAGGAGACGCAGAGAGCAAGAGTTACGTCGAGGGACTGCTTGAGAACATCAAATTGTTCAGCCACAGTGAATGTGGTCAGCTAATGTTTCATTGACAAGTGTGTAAATTAAGCTTTCCCCGAATTAATCAATTGCTAAGATATTGAGGTTTTGCAAATTGGTTGGACACAACTGTTTGCATGTGAAACTAAACTGAAGGGCAAAAAATGTGACTACCAAGTCCAATATTTAAAAATCAAAGTTTTGTTAAAATGTTGGGGCAATTTTAATCTGTAATCCAATTTGTAATCTTGTAAATCAGCTTTTGTCTCTTTTTCAGAGTGTACATGTGTATACATGTACATGTATATCCATACGAACCTTCCCAAAATGTACTACTAATCTTTGAATGAAGACACGCAATTGGAAGAACTGGCAAAAACGCGGCAATTTAACTTGAGCCCAATACAGAGATTCAACTTTTTGTGCAATGTACCACAATTAATCACATAATTTCTCTCTCTCACACATCCTTGCCATCTATGTGTATGTATACATTACAGTCCCAAGTGCATGTCTCCAGTATGAGATTTTAAGAATGACTTTAATTGGTTGTCAGCTCCTTAAAGAAGAAAAATGGAAGTACCCGTTGACAGCCCATCTTTGACAGGATGTACTTCACTCTGTCAGGCTAAAACACTTTCATGGCTCTGCTGACTGAAAAAGGAAGTTACAAGACAGCTGGAAAAATCATATCCAGCTTTAAAAAAAAATTCTTTGAAAATCAATTCAGTGGGAACAATTTCATGACTTTTAGACATGAGGCACCAAAATGAAAGACATCTGAAGTGAAGGAGAGGAAGAAGGAAAAAAAGTGTCCACCTTTGAAACATTTGCTACCAAATCTATAAGCACTCCTGAAATCTGAACTATGTCAGGGATACCCTTACCCCCACTGGGAGGAATGCATACTCTCCCCACAGGTTTATTGTAGAGGAGCTCTTTGCAGAGGCTCTGGCTGGTGCAGCTGCCCTGTTGGAAGTGATACCGGGGTTTGTGGTGTTGTTGAAGGTATGTGCAATAGGGTATGTGGCACAGAATGGGTTTTCAAAAGGATATAGGTTTCACGTTAAACTTCAAAGACTGTGAAGGACAGGGACAGAAAGATTTCAGGCTGGTTTGATATCCCAAATGGTATCAACTCGTGTTTGAAAATGTTTTAATTGGTCGTGAAGCTAAAATTGAATACATACATTGCAATATGTATTTAATTTTAGCTTCATGACCAATATACTGGGAGTAAATATCCAGTATTCAAGAGTATCGAGGCAGCATGATACAACATGATATGCTTGTGCTTTTCAAGGCAGGGAGCATAAAAAGTTAAAACTATACACCACACTATAGACACCACCAAAACTGCTTGGTCTTTTTAATAGTTATGTCGATCTACTCCAATTAAAAATCAGCGACCAGCTTACATTTATGATTTCAAGTCAATGTATCGAAAGACACGTAACTGATGAATTGAATGAGGAAAATTGGTAAGAAGAAAGGAATAAGGCAACAACTTTACAAATTACAAACTTGCTTTTGTATTTTTCCTGGGTCCATTATGCATTTTGTTTTCTTGAAAGATTTTTTTACCATTAGCTATCAGACTCCCTGGGAAAAGTAAGGGTGCCATGCTTCCTTGAGGAGTAAAATAAAGTCCCCTCTGCCCCTTGTCTCATAGGACAGCAGTAGAGTAGCCACGGTGTGCAGAGTAAGTATCGCAGATTGCGATGGACGGAGATTCCAAAAGTAAAATCAGGACACTGATAAGGTAGAATCAGGAGATTGATAAAAGGAAAATTGAGACGATGAAAATGGGTCAAAAGGGAGCACAAATTCTGTTTCGGAACGAGTAAACACAACCCTAGCTAATGTTACATGTAAATGCACCTGCAACTTTAGAAGTCTATTTGTCTGATGTATCAAATGCACACATACATGTACATCTAGGCATATTGATGACAAGAGATGCAACAGTAACTTTCGAAACCTATTTCTGACGTGACAAATACACGAATGTTGGCACATGAGGACAACAGACAGAGTGATAGCTCAGGGAACCTCTTTCTGATATGGGGCAAATGAGTCGGCACATACTAACAACAGACATATACGTGTACTGCAGCCATAACTTTGTAAACACAATACACCGCTGTTATGTCTGGAAACCAAAATTTTGGATATTCAATAAAACAGTTTACCTGAATCGTGGCTGAAGAGGACGGACTTGACCTCCTTGGCGATCACCTCCTCCCGCTCGTCGCCCTCCAGCAGCTTCTCCAGGAGGCGGTCCACGATGGCCTCCACCGTGTTCTCTGTCACGTCCAGCAGAAGCGAGGCCTGCAGCACAAAGTTGTCCACGTCCAGGGTAGCCCTCACCTCGTTGCTGAAGTCTTTCATAGGGATCCGCTGAACAGTGGATGGGAATCGGTTGGGTTGGAGGAAAAAAACAACGTGTTAGCTCAGTTTTCACAATGGGCAAAAGAGGAGGAGACCTGCATGCAATATCATGCTTAGGCTTGTGCCACATGTGGTTTCCTGTTTCTTGAAGCAACTTACATTTATCAAATTAATGAAATCAAGTTTGACCAGGTTAAGCACGACAACACAGATGAAAAAAGATGTTGGCAAGGAAAACAGTCTATGTATACAAGTCACCCTGGTGTTTTTAAATATAGTATTACACCATTTGTAAACATGGGTACCGGTATATGAACATTCAAGTAGAGTGGAATAAGCTCTGGTACGTCTTTATCACTCTAATGTTGCAAGCTATTAATTTTCCAATTGCATACAATATTTTCAACCCAAAAATCTTTGCATTGTTTTGGAACAAACTGTGCCTACAATCAGAGGAATAATCCACCAACGGAATTGTTGGCAGATTATTCCAAACACCATACAGGCAACCCCTTATAGAGGCCATGCCCACCAGTTACAAGAGAACATAAACTCAAGAAAACAAGGTAGGAAAGGAACAAAAATGTAATGTGTGAAATGAAAGTATTGGTTACATACATGTAAGTGTTTTCAAATTTAGAGTTGGTGAAATTATGAAAACAAAATTGAAATGAGGTTGAGGATTTCTGTGCAAAGTTATATTTTCCACAATGATATTTTCCCCTGACTGAGACAAAATCTGTCAAAAATTGCAGCTGCCAGCAGGCTTCAAATTTCACCTCAATTTATACAATGTAAGCTGATTCCATCAGTTACAGGTAATTTGTCAAACTGTCACCTTGCTTCAGGAAAACTTAAATCTACCTTGTTGAAACTGATCTGTGGACAGGACCCCCCCTTACTTAAGGTACAGTGTCTGGAGAACTACTAGATGAGGCCCCAGACTCCCTTCTTCTCTTGGTGAAAGAACTCACTCCAAAGTATTTCTTACAATTCAGTGCCAGTCGGCGGGCATCCTCTTTAATAATGATTCGGCAAAATGTACTCGCTTGACTCTTTAAACTCAACTTATTCAATGCCACCCAGATACACATCATCAATTTTCAACTGCATATCGTGTTGGCCAATCTAAATAATAGACTGACATTTATACACAACAGGGGAATCTTTCTATCATGAAATATTTGTGATGTGATGATGGACAAACCAGTGCATCTCTCCAGGAATGGGGGGATAGGGGATAGGAAAAGAGAGATGTGAGAAAGGGAGGAAGAGAGCAAGAGCGAGAGACAGAAGACTTGTCATCAATATTGAAATGCCAGAAGAGGGCCCCAGGACGACATGCCTGTTTGTTTAATATTTCAGCGAGCTGTGATGATGGGGGTTGGCAGTTGAGCACATGGGAATGAGAAGCCTTGGCTGGGCGATTCAAGAATCGGTGCGCATGTGTAAGTTATGGAGGAAGGAGTCACAAATGTGACACATTCGTGGACCAAGCGGACCTTCGTGGACCTCCAGAGGGAGGGACGGAGTTCCATTGGTAATAGCGACATTGGTACATGTAGCAAAACTGCAATTTTGGAAATGAATTTTCTCTCTGTAACAACAAACCCCGATAGAGAAACTGCAATTTCAGGAATGAGGGCTGGCTGAATTCCAATTGCGCAACTGGCAAAGTGACCATTTTGAAGTTTCTTTTAATACTATGGCTAGCAGCAGCAATTCTGCAGCTACAGCCACATAATAATTAAAAAATCGAAGCTAAACAGTGATTTGATAGTGGCAAAGTAATATCCCGGCAGGACAATACATTTTTAACAAGATTTGACATCACACTTCCATTGTTTCTTCATCATGATCGGACCACTCACACTTATTGAAAACAAAATGGCAGAGTTTTCAGTTACCGAAAGTTGTGAATTGTTGAAGCTAAATAGCTGGAGAATGCTTTAAGTACATGTATAATGAGCCGGCTGCTTTCCAGATTAAAAAACTGTTGTATACATGTCAATTTGTGCCCAAGGGTTGTATGGGCATACCAATCAACGTATACATGTCCAAATTGCATTCTCTCATCTGACTAGTAAAAATAAGAGCCCACCACAGCCCCGTCCAACACTCTAAGCTGAAGGCAACAGAGCATGACACTTATCTCTTAAAATATAGTAAGGTTGGCAGAGAATGCAGGACTTTTAGGGAACACCGAACACAGCAAACTGTTTTATGAAAGGGTACCGGTATAGTGTTGATTTCTGGGTTAGCTTGTGAATGGCAACCAATTTCCTTTGTTTATATATATCTATAGCTATTCTTACTCACATGAAGCTACTCTTAAGAATATTGATGAATATGCACAAGTGAAAGCTTAAACTGATGATTCAATTACTCACACAACTACATCATTAGTAATAAGAGGTATTTCATTCTCCTGCAATAAATACTTGTAATTGAAATGAATTCAGCCTTATTTAACGTTGAATAATTTAAAATACATGCCTCACTTTTTCTTATAAACAGCAAAGCGGAATGGTGCAGTGGAACAAATCCCCTGCAACCTTACTAGAGCGTTCATAGCCTTATTTTGTAATTTTACCAAAACAGGTACAAATATTCAGTTTAGTAACAGGTAACGTGTCTGTGAATGACATTTCAATTCACAGCTGAAACGGTGACATATATTAAGGGAAACTGGCATTCTTACCTCATGCTGTGCCAACATCAATGTCACCTCTTCTTCATCTACAGACAAAAGAGAGAACAAGCACAATTTTTAACTCGTGCTTTAAGAACAAATCACAATCCATACAATGAAGAATTCAACTGGAATTTCTATCCATCTGTAGAAATATAAATCAAGCTGATTCAAACAAAATATATGTATATGTGATACATATGTACAGAGCAGTAAACTTTAAAACTGTAATTTGCTACGTTCTAGGCTCATTTCTTTTTTTGTGAGCCTGTATCGTTTTGATCATGAAAGTTCAAGTTCAACAAATTAGGAGAATTCGGATAATGCCAAAATGCACATTTCAAAGTCATTTAATCTCGGGACAGACTTCCACATTGAAAGCGTGAGCAAGACCTGTGAAAGACTTCATTAGCCCAGCCTTGGCCGGCTAATCATGCCAGGAACACGTGTTATTCCCTGCTGGCCCAGCAGATGATGAACATTAGATTAAATATTCAAAACTCGCGCACATCGTTACATTCCAGGCAATGGACATTAGAGGCCACTCAGTGTGAAATCTGACGCGACCGGCAAAGCCAGCAGTGGTTCCGTGCCCGTCTCAAGTGCTCCTCATTTCCTAAGACAGTTTCACTGACTAGGGATTTTCACCTGAGGCCATGTTAGGAGAACAACTTTTCAATCAACTGAATTTCACCAATGTACACGTACTACCATTCCACCACTTCTTATATCATGCAGTCATGTTATGGCTGCCGGCTGCATGGGCCCTACATGGGGGTCCCTGCAGAATAATACCTTTTCTCATATAATGATCAGAGGAGATTGTTTCGTCACGACGGCAGTGACGGCAGACAAGACCTCACTTCCCACCTTGCGAATTAATCTTTCACTCTCAAGGGTGAAAGGGACAGAAATTGTCTCTCACAGCTTCTCTCTGGATACAAACATATGGTGGTACAATTAAAAGTTGGACAGTTACTCTTCCACTTCAGGTTGTTTTTCCATTTGTACTTTCAACTGATCTGGTTTTAGGATTTACCAGTACAACTACTTTTTACAGACACACTACACCAGACAAAAATTACCAACATATCACTGGATTATGACGGTCAATCTAATAAATTTTGCGGTGCAGTAGTTCAAACATCCCTGGAATTTTTTTTCTTCGGAACAATGTGCTCAACACCAAGAGAGGTAACAGTCTGGAAACATGGGCCGCGAACAGTTCTGCTGGAATTCCTGTAAACTCTCCCTCTGGCTAGCTAACGCTAAAGTCCACGAACGTTAATGAAAAAGCAAGGAAAAAAAGTCCCACGGCCGAGACCATGCCGAGCATTAAGAAAACAGCAAGGCTCACTCCAAGTAAACCCGATGTTGATTACGACTGTCTGCGGAGAGGTGCCTGAGGTTTGCCTACAACACAAGGAATGCCAAATGACGGCTGACAGTAGTCAAATAATCACTCTTGAATGCACAAAAAGTGAGTGAAAGGGGAAGTGAATAAATTTTACAGAAAGTTCACTGTATGCAATCTGTGCCATAGCTGAAGCCCCAACATGAAGGACACTGGGTAAAGAACATTCAATTTTAAGTGGGAAGACTAAAAAGACAGTTCAAACTTTTAAGTTCTTAAAGCTGACAGACAGGAAAACCACAGGACACAGAACATGAAGTAAGCAAACTAATTTCTATTTCTGATCATTATGCCTAGACAACAAGACATGATGAAATGCCAGGATGCACTTTTTAAAAACAATGTCACAATAAAACAGCGGTCGCCAAATTAGATGTTCCAGATGTTGTGGGAAATGAACCCCATCTGGATCAACACAAGACGGTAATGTTACCCCCTTCCCCCTTGGTTAATCTGATGCTCTATTTTTATTCTTACTCAGAGACGGATTCTGATTGCAATCACGAATGTCGCCATCAATTTTTTTTTGGTTGGGGGGGATAAACCACTATTTTCCAGGGGGAAACGTTGGGGGGGTACTTACCAGTATCAACTAAAAGCCGACACAAATTAGGAGGTCAAAATTGGGGTTGTTTGAAGCTAATCAGTGATTTTCAACTCCCTGTATCTGTTTTTTTCATTGCTTTCATTTTTTCCCATTTGTAAATCAATTTCTGGGTTTTGTTTGCTTTTTGGGCGGGATGGAGGAGGAAGATTCCCTTCGCCTACCCCACCCCCCCATAATGCCCACAACTGCAAATGATAACATGAAATGCCAAGTGAGCATGTGTTGTAAACTAAAACAGCTTTAGACGTACTCAGCCTTTCATCTTAAACATATCACGTGGCCCTTTAAAAGTGCTCAGCCACAACATTGCTGGCAGTATGCCTAACATTTGCAAAGTCTGGCTGAACTGTAAATTGCACACAGCAACTATTAAACACATTTATTTCAGTTAATAGTTAATCCCAGTGTCTGTGAAGGTGTATCCAATGTTTTCATTAACAATGGCCTCCAAACCTGACTCGCACAGAACAGAACCAGAAGCCAGTAATTTATAGTTACAGTAGTTATTAAGTAAAACAAAACACAGTTGGATAGTGTTGGATAACTAAATTATCCAACACTTATATTTCATTAACCAATCCACAGCAGAGCAGAGTTGTCCACTAGTACTACTAGTGACCACTAAGAAAATAAAATGAACCTTACACAGCCAACGCCCAATCACACATCCGCACTGGGCTAAAACTACAACAGGGTTTTAAAGGAAAGTAACAGGTCAGTTCAACAATGGAGGATCCAGTTATACACTAAAAAGAATGGCTAATCTTATGTGGCATCCCACTGTGTGGCCGCAGCCCTTCTGACCAAGGCCAGGCAACAGTATGTAAGACACTTGATGAGTGCAAGCTGCTGTAGCTGGCACAAAAATAACTTTGATTGTTATAATATACATCAATGAAAGCATGAAGTGTTAAATCATCTTCTTGGGTTTATTTTCCTGACATCGTGGGCTGCAAACTGCTCTAATATTCACAGACTTGGGAAGGCACGTTTAATCCCAGAAAATCCAATAATTGCATCTGACTTTGATCCAGCTGTACGTGGTCTGTGTATTCCAATAATTACAAGAAATGCCAAATGATCCATGAACAGCTTTTTTATAACAGTGCGAACAGAGACCAGCAACCCCTTGATGCCAAGAAATCACAAAGATCACATGAAATGCCAATGTCGGAGACTAAATGCCAACGTGGACCAAGTCGACCGTGAACGAGGCATTTCATCAGCAATCCACCTCTCCATGAACCTCTTCGGCATGTCCCAAATTACAGTTTAGTCTCCTGATCACGTTCGACTGGGGAGAGAAAAATCCAAGCACCTCACTTCAACTTGCAACTCATCATGAAAAATAATGTGAAGCATCTGCGCTTCTCCAACCTGTTTCATGTGGCCTGCACGTGCATGCAGGCTATCTGAAATGAGTTACGAGTGAGGCAACAGCACAGCACCATAGCCTCTAAGCCTGGAGAAGCAAGACGATGAAAATTTACTACTTTTTTCAAATAGCACGTTCAGCTCAGAAATCCCCGGTCACAGTTTAAAACATGCACATAAAAACCCACGGATGGATCTGCATGGTGCATTTTTTGTATGGAATAGAATTTCCCCAGAGGATCCCCTTTTCACTTGAAATTCCAGAGGAGAATAATAAAAGGAGCACAACAGACAGTGAGAGATAGACAGACAGACAGACAGACAGAGGGGGAAAAATGAACAGCTACAAATGCTGACTGTCTACTGCAGGCTTTACACATCAAGACAAAATGAAAAAAAAAGCTGAATTATGGGTTTAAGGATTCGTAAAGATCTAGGGTGTGCTTTACAAAGTCAATGAAAGATCCTAAACATCTTACGCCACTAAAGATTTCCACAAAACAGACAGGCATCAGTTTTTTGTGTGTTTTTTTTCAATTCTCTAGGCCTGTTACATGTGTACAGGACCAGACAGCATTTACCTGCACAGGAATAAAAAGATGCATGGCAGGTATACCCATTGGAAACTTCATAATACATGTGTACTAGTTTTGCCTATTATCCCTAAATTTTCTAATGAAACCTTACAGTACATGTAAAATTGGTTTTAAAAAGCCAGAAGGAAAGAAACAGAATATTATATTCCAGCAAATCAAACAACTCGTCTCCTACATGTAAATGTATAAATTCAACTGTATATTAATCAATTTCTTTATCAATATCATTCATATGACTTCTTATACACTTGTTGTATCATCAGTGTCAAGTGTTAATGTTGGCTTTGCATCATTGGTGGTTCCTTTTCAGATCTTTACATTTCAGGGATGCGGCCAGTCAGGTTCTTATCAAAAGCCTGAAAATTAGTGACATAAAAGCCTAAAGGTACCTTACCATGGCCTGAAATTAGCCCACATTTCAAATGAAAGAGCCTGAAATCAGACCTTTCGCCTTAAAACTGGCATCCCTGTGATGACATTGACATGTATCTGAATGAAAATCTGTGCAAGGCCTATTAGAGAAAAAAAATTTCCAGGGGCTTGGATGCAGGTACATCTAGTTTAGTTGAGACCTGGCAAATGCACCACATTCGGAGTAAGTCAGCACATCGATCAAGTCGCAGTGGGGATGAAAATCCATGCATGTGCATCAGGTCGTACTGAGCAGAATGTTCTGCACTGTCATCACATGAATATTATCACAATCGTTCACTCAGCGTCAGTCAGTGTGCCTTGCAGCTAATGTGGCAGCTGCAGGCACAGATCTGCTACTGCTCACAAAGAGAGAAGCAAAAGGCCTGTTAGAATGCTACGGTAAGTCACCAGAACAAATGTTGTTTTCTTGTCAGCTGAAGAGGCTTCCATTTTGTGCAGAAAACCAAATGAGGTTAAAATGATGGCTCCATAAAAGATCTGCTCAGCGCGCAGGAAAAATGATGGAAGAAATACATGTAAGGGACTCATTTAAAATTTACATCAGTCTTGCCAAAGTGTTGAAATGGCTATTTATGATATTGATTTATGTCTTTGCAAACACGAGAAACAGGATTTGCTTGG